GAGTTACTGCGCATCTTTCCCTGCCGCCTGTTCACCGTTCTGTCACAATAAAGTCTTAAAAAGACCCAAAATTATTTAAAATAAAACTGAATTTTGTTGAAATGCATCATTTCCAGGTCTTTAATAACAAAAAGCAACATGCAGAGACATCTCCATCTTTTCCTGAACTCACAGTCACCCAAATGACATCCGTTCCATTCTTGAGCGATGGCCCTGCAGACCACAGTCTACATGTTGTAGCTGTTTCCTGTCAGCAGGGGGCAGTGAAGAGGCGCTCTAACAGAGCTGAAGGTTGAAACAACGAGAGAGTCCCGCTGCAGCGGCGTGTGCAGTCTCTCATGATCTTTGAGCGTTTTTTTGCTCTGTTGTTGCTCCTCGTCCTGTTCCATCCAATCAGCATCTGACCCACGAGGCTGCACACGCCTCTGCGTACACAGACACAGACCATAATGTCACCTGAGTGCTCACCTGGTTGCGGTGTTGTCGCAGGATTCCTCCTGCAGCAGCGGCTCAGTCGCCTCAGCAGAGGAAGAGCATTCAGAATCAGGCTTCCTGATGAGGAAGAAGAGGAAGCAGCCAACCAGGCTTATCACCGTCAGAGAGATGAACACCGTCCGCCGGTCCTTGTCTGAGAGGAACAGCGTGAGTCAGACGCTTTTCATGAGACGACCACACAGGAAGTTAATGCTATAAAAAGCGCCGTGTGAGGCTCAAAGAAAATGGCTGGAGTCAGACCTGTGATGTGGACGTGTCCGTGCCAGGCGCAGTAGATGTAGAGGTTTCCAAAGAACAAGCTGCAGAGAGAGAGGACATTTAAAACGGCGTGCACAGAAATCATCATGTGACTCAACTTCCCACAGAGCGCCATGAGTTTCAGAATCCACCGTTCACGTGAGCCACTCACGGTGAGAGCTGTTCACGAGCACCACAGTATCATATTCACCAGCATGCTGCACTGAACATGCTCTGCCATAAAGCTCGCCATCGTTACCGTGGTTCCCGTACAGCTGGGTGACCTCTGACCTGTTCATAGTGACAGTAAGGCTTATATCCAATCAGATTTCTTATTACAGGCACAACAGTCGCCCCCGCCTGGCCATCAGGAAGACCACTGTAAACCTACATCCATCTTTTATTTACAGTCTATGGCCTGCTGACGTGGTCATTGAGCAGAATCTGAAACCTTCTGAGGTTTGTATGGCGGTGGTTTGGCTTTTAGACCAAACTGGGGGCAACATGGGGGTCACTGAAGCTTATATCCTGACTATGTGCTGCTGAAGGTTTACCTGAACTGCAGCAGCGCCCAGAATATACCACTGTTTCTCCCAATGGTGCTGTCCGTGGAGTTGATGGTGAGGACGTTCCCCTGAGCTGTCCACAGCACTAGAGTGCACAAATCAAAATGTCAGATATGTGCACAGACCAAGCGTCTTTTCCAAATATCAGGGCCACAGGGATGCTGCTGCTTTACCTGCTGCTGCTATTCCAACCAGCACGGACGCCGTGTAGAAGCTCCAGGTGTACGGGTAGATGAACATGGCGATGTACAGGCTGTGGAAGACGACAGTGCATGAATTAGGAGGTTTGTTTTTTATTGAAGGGGTGGAAGAGAGTGGATGCGAGTGTGCAGGTACCTGTACAAAAGCCCGCTGAAGAACATGGAGAGCTGGGGCCCGATGACCGCCACCACCGACGGGGCGATGAGGTTGGATGCAGAGAAAACGCCATAGATGATGGCCATGCTGCGAGAGGCAGAGCACAGTCAGGCACCTCGCTTTAATTGATGGATTTTTAAAATTTGAAGCCACACGAAGTGCACAAAACCAAACTTTACAACCACCACACAGAAGAAAAACGAGCGGTTTAGGTTCCTGCTGACGGCCTTGCAGTGCTTTCCACCAATCAGCTGTTTTCAAGGCTGTGCCTCTGCTAACGAAGCCCGCTGCTTCAGTTAGATGCTCTTGAACTCTTTGGTCACAGAACACTGACGAACTCCGGATGATCTGCTTGATCCACTCATACGGCATCATGGGAAATGTGGTTGTAATCACATGGTTGGTAGTTAACAGCTTCCTTCATTAGCTCTTTTTTTTTTTTTGGTGAAAGTTGTTTTTTGAGCCTTCTGCAGACATCTGAACACTTTTCTGTTTTTTTCTGCTGCTGGCACCGAATTGAAATGAGTATAGATTTAAAACAACAACAAAAACAGTGAAATGTCTCCGTTTTAAATGTGACGTCTTTTCACTGCTTAAAATCAGCTTTAAATAATCGACAGTGATTATGGTCTCCTCACTTTCTGGTTTCTGAAAACTGACGGTTCAATAAGATTAACCTTAGATTGAATTAACCCCTCAGCGCTTTCTGGCTGAGACTGATTCGATTTGAGAAAGTGCCGCCAGTCGACACTTGTTTACCTCGTGTATCCACTCCCGTGAAACTCGGTGCTGTTGAAGCTCTTGATCACTGTTTGCTGTTAAGATAAAGAAACAATGACTTATAAGATGTAAAGTCTGCGTAACTTTAACAAAAGTGCGGTCAGTGACAAACTTACCTCTATATTGCCACATGTCTGAAAGGCTGTGAACATGAACATAAAGCCGAAGCCGAGGATGATGATGTTTAAAAGCTTCTTCCCTTCTGGACTCATTCTGGAGGTTATCTGAACTCCCGGAGGAAGTAAAAACCAAAAACACAAAAAAAATAATAATCTATTGTTGGTGTGAAGAGCTCATCTGAGAATAGAAACAAAGGAACATGTCAGAATATGTCTGTAAGAAGCAATAAAACTAAGCCACATTTATATTATATTAAATTAAACACCCATTTTCTGCGACACTGCCTTCAAAGCAGTGTAGTGTGATTGGTGTGATGTACGCCGAATTATAAAGAAGACAGTCTGGGGTGAATGACCACAGCTGCGTGCTCTCACTTGTGTGCCATCTGATTTTATATGAAAGAGCGTTTAATTTAGACATTTCTAAACGAGATTCGGCCTGCTGCTCGTTGCTAGAAATGCATAATGCGGAAATGCTCCAGACTATTTCTAATGACAAGAGACTATTTCTAGTTTTTTAAGTGTCACGCTTACAGAGCAGTTGTGCCCGGAAAGTCAGCCGTGATCAGCTCACCAAATCTGCCGACGCTGCTGAGCTAACCTGCCCGCTTTTCTCCTCACTCAGTC